TAAATTATAAGTATATATAATATATCATATTAGAGTGTTTGTAGTATGTTTGAGAAATAAATTTTATATTAATAGGTACGTGGACTGATTTTTTAAAATTGATCCAATACTAGAATGCTATATATCATTGGAAAGCCTTCAAATACCGTATTTTAAAGATGAAAAAATTATGAAAATTAGACAATTCTATAAAAAAATATAACGTTTTTAGTAGCAATTTTTTAATATATTCTTTCTTTCATAAGATTTCTTGATAAAACTGTGGTAAAAAAAAATTTTTTCTACATAAATTATAACTTTGGCAATTCTTATTCAAATATCTATAACTTAGTATCAAAAGATAGATGTAAAAATGGACTATGATTTCAAACTAGTTTCTGGGTAAAGGGCGCATGGAGGGATCCAGAGGGGATGCTTATCCGCCACCTACACCTCACAAAAATACACTTTTTTTTTCAAAATAGAGTGTTTTTTTTTTTTTAAATTAGTAATATTTATATACAACAAGTTATTATTTATTTATTCCACATCACTAGCAAATATTACAGGTCTATCTTAAAGTTGGGTGTTGGGTTTAACACACCCTATTAAAATCTCATTCTTTTAATTATTACAATCTTTACTAAAATGATTAAATCTATTATAAAAAACAAAAAATATATTTCAACACTATAACAAAGAGTAACTAGTGGTGTATAGACTGCTTTAATTGAAGAGGGCGTATACTGCCCCCCCCCCCTCTCTGCTATGAACCTGAAAAAAAAAATTATGAAAATTTCACAAAAAAATGTTAAAATGCTTTTTTTAAAAACAGAGAGAAATTAGTATAAAAAAATATTTTAATACATTACAAAATGCATCAGAGAAACCATTTTGTCATGTAAAAAGACAATTACCCACTCCAACCTAAAAAAAAATACACGAAAACCTTTTGAAATAAAAAAGCGTAGTATAGTATGTATAAATTGCCTTTGTGCACCCCCTTTCATAAAGGCAACTTATACACCTAGAGGTGTATAATTTGTCTTTATAAAAAGAGGAGCAAGCTATCCCCCTCCTCTGTTGGAACCAAATAAAAAGATTTTAATTACAATTTAACTTAACTTGCAAAACCTATTTGCAAGCCATAAAACTTGTGGCAGTTATTTTGCTGGTTACAAAACTTGCTATACTGTGAGCATTTTTACATTAATTTCATATTCCAATTAAGAAAATTCAAACTACCCTGATATAACAACAGCAACTAGCTGGAGTTTTTAATCTTTTGACAGTTCAATATCAGTTCCATCTTGTTTTCAATAAAAAAAATAGTGTAAATTCTGCCTTGTTATTTTTTGTTTACTTTTTTCAACTCTACCATCATAAATGGCAAAATGAAAACTTAAACAGAAAATTAACAATGAAAATATAAAAAAAAAAATCTAATTACAAACAACAAACTAACACTTGGAATATTGCTACAAAGTTAAAGTATTTAATTTAAATTATTAATTTGAAAATTATAATTCAAAATGATTAATATAAAATAATATTGATAGTATAAAAGATAAAATTGTTATTGAATATTATTAGTTAATAAAAATTTTATCTTTTATACTATTAATATTGCTTTAACATTATTAAAACACTTTAAAAACATTAACTTAATGATTAAGTGTATGTTTTTAAAGTATTTTAATAAAAAAAGTTAAAACTGTTATTGACTATTGACATTATTGTATACTACTTTATTTTTGTATTTAATAACTCACATGTTTAGATAATGGAATATGTAAATTGTATACTACTTTATCTTTTAAATATTGTTTACAATAGCCTATTAAACAAGTGTAAAAATAAATAAGTGTAACATCACATAAAGTATGTGATCTTTACACTTATTTATGTATGGTGTTTTTATAAAGTTGTCCACTGATACTTTGATCAAAGTATTCTCAATTGTAACTCAATTGAGTTAACAATTAATTCAAAACCAACAGCTTTACTGAGGTTTTAGTCTTAAACGTTAATAATTTTTTATATGTAACACTTAAAAAAGATTTTTAAATTTATCAACATAATTTATTACTTATACTTTTATTTAAAAAAAATAACTTACTAATTGTTACATAGTCCAACAAACTTCATTATTTTTTTCCATTTTAATTTAATAATAAAAATCCAAATAAACATTCTCGCAATAACAATTGTTTTGCGAATGGCTTCCCTAGCTGCCACCGCAGTTTGCTATAACCGAAAAAAAAATCAGAAAAACAGAAATTAGGTACCAAAAGTGTTACACTTAGCAAACCGCCTGCTCCCTTTTTTTTTCGTTTAAATTTGGCATTTACATAGAAAATGCATGTAGAAAATTGTTTAAATAATAAATAGAGCGGGATCAACATTCCTTCTACTACAAATTCAAGTGAAAACATCGTCTTAATTTTCTTGCAAAATTTGAAGCAAAATAACCTATAAAGAAGTTTAGTAACAATACATAAAATTTATATAGAAATCCCGCTTAACCTTTCTTCTTTCAAAAATAAATCTTTATTTGCATATTTTTCAAAAAAGAAATACCACAAAAGTACGTTTTACTAAGACTACCGAAAAAATGCTTAGTAGAACCCTTGTAATGCTTAGTAGAACCCTATGCTTAGTAGAACCCTTTGAAACCTATTTTTCCCATTTTTTGTTTCGTTGAAGTTTGATATGTGTATAAAAATTGCATGCAGAAATTTGTTTGAATAATAAATAGACCAGGATTAATATTCCTTCGACTACAAATTTATGTGAGAACATCAACCTATTTTTCAGAACCAAAATAATCCATAAAAAAATTCAGTAACCATGCATAAAAGTTATATAAAAATCAAGAATAATCTTTCTTCTTTCAAAAAAGTATCTATTTGTATATATGTTTCTAAAAAAAAACTTTACAAAAATACGTTTGCCTAATGCTACCTAAAAAAAAGTTAAAGAAACGAATCACAAAATTTTAGCACAAAAATCGTGATTTGCGCGTACCTAATATTAAAAGAGATTTGCTTTTTACTAATACAATCTATTTGACTTTAGAAAAATATATTGCTGGTTTAATACAGTTTTATTGATGTTATTCCATTTATGAAAAAATTGGGTGCTAGGTTTGAATACAACAAACAACTTTTGGTCCAAATACTCTCTTCATCACGAGTTTAATAAATAAGTTGCAGCATTAATTTTTACAAAACCAAAATTTAAAAAAAAATGCTAAATAAAATATATATATATATATATATATATATATATATATATATATATATATATATATATATATATATATATATATATATATATATATATATATATATATATATATATATATATATATATATATATATATATATATATATATATATATATATTAGCTTATTTCATAAAAAAGTCAATTTTGAATTTTTTTGATCTTAAGGCGTTTTGAAAAACGCTGTAGAATAATCCATAAAAAGTTAAATAAAAAAACAGGTTAAACAAAACAAAAATAAATACTAATAAAAAAAGCTAGTAAATAAAAATCACATATCCGTCATAGTTCAATAACTTTCCGTCACAACAACAATAAAAGTGCTATCAAAAATAGATTTAAATGATTAAAAATAATGATTAAAAAGTAAATTACAACATCTTTATCGCCGTCAGAAACATGCAATCCGTGTAGTTAATTATGCGGATCGCTTTTCACGATCGAAATATTTTTTTGATTATATGAATGTACTAGATGTTTATAAACTTAACATATTTAATGTTTTATGTTTTACTTTTATGTGGAAAAACGATTTATCTTTATTTGTTTTCAATGACCTTTTTTCTTTAAAACCAATAAATAAATACACATTAAGAAGTAATAGTTTTCTAAATGAACCATTTTGTAAAACGAAGTTCAATCAATTCTGTATTGCATATCGTGCACCCCATCTTTGGAATAAAATAGTATTACCAAATTTTGACCCTTCTACTACTCTTCCTGTTTTTAAAACTAAATTAAAAAACTTCATTCTCTGTATGGACAACATTCTAAAATTCTACTAAAAATTTATGTAAAATGTATTTTTCAAATCTTCAGCATATTGAGTATTAAAATGTTAGTATATTGTATATTTGCATTATGTTATATTATATTAGTATATTGCATATTTGCATTATGTTAAATCTTTGCATTATGTCTTTTTTAAGGTTCCGGTGATAAGATCCTTCTGATCTTCTTTCGGAAACCTAGTCTTATATTGTTAGTACGCTGAATTGTATATACATATATATATATACACATACTCATTTTTTTTTTTCTTTTCTTGTAGAAGTCTTAAATATTTTTACGTATCAGACTTATATTATTATATATCACGACTTATATTATTATATATGTATCAGACTTATATTATTATATATCACGACTTATATTATTATATATGTATCAGACTTATATTATTATATATCACGACTTATATTATTTTGTATCACGACTAACATTGTAAACTAAAAAAAAAAAAAAAAAAAAAAAAAAAAAAAAATGTAAAATAGTAAACGACCGGGGGCTAGTATTTGATGGTCAAAGCCGGGTTTATAGCTGAGGCTGTATAAATACTAAAGCATATTGATATGATATATAAAAATAAGTCAATATGCACCAATATTTATGCAATCCCGTCCGTAGAACTGGCTTTGGCCACAATCAAGTACCAGCCCCGTTTGTTTGTAATCTAAAACCGTTCTTTATAAATAAAAAACTGAAAAAATAATAAACTAAAAAAGACACATAAATTTATGTGTCTTTTTCAGTTGTTTAAAGCAAAATTTATGATTGGATATCATTAATAATAAAAAGCCTAGCACCTACTATGCTCAGCTAAGCTCAGAGAATTTGGTTAAAAATTTTTATATGTATATTGGAGTGTAATTTAAAGTTGATCATATGTGCAGCCTAGCGTGGCTTTGGTGTTTTTTTGCTTGTGTAAAGGGAAATTTCAACAAAAGGTAGCACATGTTTAGGAGTTTTATTGAAAAATACTTTGAAAAAATTGTTTTTCTATTATTTATTTGGAAAAACGCAAGCATAAAAATAAATTTAAAAAAAAAACGCAAGCATAAAAGATAAATTTTAAAAAAAAAAAATATTTCTTCTTCTAATTTCAATATATGATGTTTACCAACTGATATTCAACGTTAAGAAATTAAAATATTTTGGAATTATCTTCTGGCGTCATATTTCTTTTTTATATGATTTTTTTTTTTTTTTTTACCCATATTTGAAAAGCAAAGTATTGCAATTTTTGTGGTAAAACTGATGCATTGTGATAAAACTGATGAATTGAGCTGAAAAATCATAGAAGAAAAAAAAACTGTATCAATTTTAAAGTACTGGGGTCTCTAGATTAAATTAAATTAAAAAAAAAAATTACCCATATATGGAAGTTAGTTTAAGAGATTTTGATCACCTCTGGCCACTGAGATTGTTAAAGATTACCTGTAGTGTTCTGCAAAGATTTATTCTTAAACCTCTTCTTTTTCTTATATATGTTAACGATCTTCATAACGTATCCAGATTAAATGTTTGCCGATAGTAAAAACCTATTTTTATCTCATAAAACCATTGTAGCACATTGTAATATTATTATGAGATAAAAATAGGTTTGCACCATCGGTAAACATTATTGTCTTTAATCTGGATACGTTATGAAGATCGTAAATATATATAAGAAAAAGAAAAGAACTGAGAATAGAACTTTGCAGAACACCACAGGTAAATTCGACAATCATTAGTGAAAGAGCAAAGCTAAAAATGTGATTATTTAGATAACTTTTTAACAATTTTATAATATTTCCAGTTATACCATAATGATTGAGTTTTAAAAAGAATTTCGTGTTTTATATATAATAGGCCATAAATAGTATCAAATAGACTATATATAGTATTAAAGACTTAGATAAGTCAATGAAGATACTTTAGCTATACTCAGGCATTAAGACCCCGATATATTATTTCTAATGTTGTTGACCAAAATAGTGTTTGAAAAACATCATGTTGATAAACCATTTTGATTAACTCATATAATAAATAAGCTAGGATTTCTTTTCCTTAATGCATAACTTTACATATATATTTTTTTTATTAATGTTATTTAGGTGCCCCAAGAAGTCCTTACGGTCTTATCACAGAGCACCGCGGAAGAGCATTTAATAGGAAGTTCACGCCTCTTTCCCAACCGATGTCGCAAAACATGCCCAGAGGCGGGGTTTGAAGGAGACTTTATTTAAGTACAACTTTTTTATTAAAATATTGAATTTTAAAATATTGAATTTTAATTTAATCGGTGAATAAAGCGGAAGTCCGACTAAATACAACCGTAAATTTTCGGGAAACTAAAAAAGGAACAATAGCCACGGATCTTACGTTTCTGAGGCAAGTGTGCTACCACTACGCCACGGCTGCAATTATTTTTTACTCCATTTGCAAAGGTTAAGTCTAGTGAAAAAAGTAACTTGTCTCACATTGGCTCCCATGAATCTTACACGGAATCCACATAAAAACCCTTGTGGGACGTTTTTTTTTTTCCACTTGAAATAAATCCTCTTGTAATAGACAGATGTCGTTATTTGAAATCACCGAAATAATTTTTGTATCGTCGGCGAACTATTTATAACAATTTTTTATTTTTTCTGATATAGCATCGATATGTAACGAAGAGCAGCGGACACTTGGCGACCCTTTACTTTGATTTATATTAACCGAGAATAACTTTTTGATACAAAAGTCTTACCATAAAACATCGAAATAAGGTCGGCAAAAATTTACCGAATACTAACTCTAATTCCGAGGGTTGTACATCTGAGTGACACTTCTCAATGATTTGGTTTTTATTATAATTATTGCGCCATATTTAACACATACTACACTCTCTTTTAAACTTAAAAAAAATAAAAGAAAATAATTAACTTTTGTTGTTGTTATTAAGTCACCAAAAAAAAAGCTTGAACAAAACAAAAAAAGAAAAATCAAAAATCATATTTTGGTTCTTTATCAAATTAATTTCATCATTTGGCATATCAAATTAATTTCATCATTTGGCATATCAAATTAATTTCATCATTTGACATATCAAATTAATTTCATCATTTGGCATATCAAATTAATTTCATCATTTTATCAAATTAATTTCATCATTTGGCATATCAAAATAAACTAAGCTTTTATACTTCCTCAAAAATAGCAGTTCGTTTAAATCAAATACGTCTGAGATGGAGGTCCAAACTGTAAGTGTAAATGATTTGTTTTGGCAAAGCAACCAAAGCAATTGCTTCATTGATCGATTGACTAATGAAGCACGCACAGGGAATGTGACATGTAAACCAGTATCGTTAACTAATTCAAACATTTGTTGTACATGTGACCAAGAATAACCTTCTGATAATGATCCATTAAATGCTGACGTCCATCCAGGTGATAAGATTGCATTATTTATTTGCTTGCACTTTTCTATAAAGATATTGGCATCCACAGGTTTTGTTAAAAGGTTATTTGGCCCTTCTAGTATATCTGCATTTAGGATTACAGGAATACTTGTGTTAAATTTCATGATTGTCTTTAATATATTTAAAGAAGGAACGATAGCTTCAGTTTGTTTGAAATCTAATTTTATACCTTTTTTACCATGATTAAACGCTTCAATTAACCACTCTGATAACGATATGTCACTTAAATCAGAGGGGGAATGTGCCATAATTGGTTCGTTATTTGGACCTAAAATAACATCTGCTTCCAACATTGTAATAGTATTATCGGTTAAAGAATTTAAAAGTTTTTTTTTGCTGTTAACTGCATGAGACCATTTTATATCAATGCCATCATTCAAATTTAAGATATCGAGTAAAGTTTTTTGAGGAACATATTGATCAGTCATCTTATCATTCTGAATCAAAAGAGTTAAATGAATGCATTGCAGTACCTAAAAATAAAGTATGAAAACTTCTTGAATAAAAATTATATATACTTATACTGCAGACACAAAACTAATGACATTATAAAAAAATATGTATATATATATATATATATATATATATATATATATATATATATATATATATATATATATATATATATATATATATATATATATATATATATATATATATATATATATATATATATATATATATATATATTAGTAGAAAATCACTTAACAAATTTTCATTTTACACTGTGTTTCATCAACAAAGACTCATCAGAAATGAATGATCAAATTAATAAAACTTCAATTTATATCAAAAAATTAAATTACAGGAAGTCGCAAATGTTTTAAATACTGTAAATTTTCGTACACTTGTGGAATTTGCTGACACTATTATAAAAACAATTCTTTAGAAATGATTACTTATGCTTTTTTTTATAAAAAAAAAATTTAAAAAAGGGGGAATTTAATGTAACTATTATTTGAGCTCACTTATTTTTAAAGTTTTTTAGGAGAAACTTATTTTTGTGCCTGTATTTAGAAATCAATTCATAAATTTAGAAATTCAATTTAATTGCTCTATTCTTTTAAGAACATTGAGCACTCTATTTTGTAAAACACATTTTTAAAATTGTTTAAATATATATTAGGCTCCTTATTAACATTTGTTGAGCACTCTTAATTGTATTTTAACATTCTGTGTAAATATGGAAACTAATTATTTCACTTACTCGTTGAAAAAAATACCTATACTAGATCAAAAAAGTTATACTATTTCTTTGAATAAAAAAGTTGAGCATTTTATTAAAAGAATTTGTTGGAAAACCCTTTTTTTTTTTTAAATCAAATATAAATGCAGATGACGTATTCAATAATAACCAAGATAATGAAAATTATGGATTTAAAACAAAAAATACCCCACCTTTTATACCTGATTTTGAAAGTTTTGAAAATGACCTATTGCATTTAATTAAAACAATAAAGTTTTGCCCTATAAAAAATAAATTTTAAACAGAATTAATGTTAGATGTAAAAAAAATTAAATCAAACCCAAATATTTTGGTTGTTGCTGATAAAACAAATAACATTTACCAACTCACAACAGAAAACTATGAAAAAATTTTACGCAACAATATTAACTATTCTTATGAGAAAACCCCTAAAAATTAAAAAATGGAAAACGCAATTAATTCAGAAAAAATGCCCAAAGAAATGCTAAAAACATAAACCTTGATAATAGAATCGAATATACTGCTCCTGCCCAAGCCTTTGTAACACTAAAAGACCATAAACCAAACTTTCAAAACAAACTTCCTTGTAGGTTATTGGTTCCCTCAAAAAGTGACATGTAAATTGGATAAAAAAATTGGACATGTAAGCAAAATTAAGTTGGACAAAATTAATAATATTCTTAGAAATAAATTAAATTTGCAACAATGGAAATATATATATATATATATATATATATATATATATATATATATATATATATATATATATATATATATATATATATATAAATATAAATATATATATATATATAAATATATATATATATATATATATATATATATATCATATATATATATATATATATATATATATATATATATATATATATATATATATATATATATATATATATATATACATATATATACACACAGTAATATATATACTATATAGCTCTAGTTTATCTATTGAGCACTCTTTAAAATATACATTATTATATACGATAATATAAAGAAATCATCTTTAATATTTACATATATATACCCATGTGTGTGTGTGTGTATATATATATATATATATATATATATATATATATATATATATATATATATATACATATATATATATATATATACATATATATATATATATATATATATATATATATATATACCGTGTTCAAAAAAAAAAGTTCTTCAAAACGCAAATACACAAACCAAATTTAAGGCAAATATTAAAATAATAAAATTACCAAAACAAAATTCCAGAAATATTGACATTTACCTTGCGCTTAAGCGGGAAAATACCCTGAAAAATGCACCGAATTGTTCCTAAATTATTTGGCTTTGAGTGCAAGACAAATCTCATTATTTTGAGAATCGCTATAACATTTTGAACTAAGATTTTTTTTCTAATAGTCTGAAGTTTTTTTTTAGACTTTTGTGTATTATAGTTTTTTCATAATTGTTGCTTATATTAAAAATTTCCCAAAAAAAGAATTTTGCGCAAATACCCCCCAAAACTTTTTTTACATAATTTGCGTAATTGCAAAACCTTACATAATTTTGCATAATTGCAAAAAAAATTTTTGCATAAATTATGTAAAATCTTTTTTATTTTAAATAACAATTATGAAAAAACCTGGATACACAACAATGCAAATAAAAAATATAGACCATTATAATCACATAAAAAAAAATTTTTTTAATTAGACAAAACAGAAACAAAAATAAAAAAGAGATAAAGAGGAAATAAAAAGAAAAAAAAATTAAAAATGAGTAAGAAACAAACTTAAGAGTAAGAAACAAACTTAAAAAAAGGAAATAAAATTGTTATTAAACTATTCAAAACAAACTTTTATTTTTTATAAATATAAATAAAAAGATAAGTTAAGAAATTACTTTTATAGTAACTTTATATTCAGTACCATAAAATCCCCTAAGTTCGCCTAAGTTCGTTGCTTTGAACATTAATTTATCACGCATAAATATAAATTTTTTTTTCCTGAAACATTCAGAAAGTTTTATTGATAATTAATATTCTAAAAATAAAAAAATAAAAAATAAAAACTAATACTAGTATTTAATGTAAAATGAAAATATCTACTTTGACCGAACTTTCAATACCATCTCATAAGTTCTGCCACTATATAAATACTAATATTGTATCACAAACTTAACATCACAAATAATGAAAACTTTTTTTTAAATACTTTTTAATTACAATATAAGTTTAGGTATAATATCAGATATAAATTCAGATACAAATACCCGTAACTAAGAAGGGCGTCAGCCCAGGCTCAAAAAAAAAAAATCTTTTGAGGTACCAAATAAAACAAGAAGGAGCACATAAAAAAAGGCCTTTTTAAATATAAGTAGTAGTATTTTAAATTTTTATTGTAATTAGTTAACTATTTTATTACTTTGGACATAATCAAATTTGCTACGCCACCGGTTAATACAATTAAAAATATATTTTTTAGTTAATTTAAAAAGATTTTTCAATAAACAAAAAAACACTACTTTGCTTTAAATGAGCTTTGTATATTTACTGGCAATTCTTGCACGTATCGTTGACCATAGCAGAACAGCAAGATCCACACAAACAATCGTCACAGGGTTTGCATCGCATCCATAATTGTTGTTGAGCATTAATTTCATCTCCAAAAAAAATGTCACAAGCTTGATATTTTTTAGAACTCAAAGAACAGTCGAAATTATGAACAAATCTTTTATTCAAATAAAATACCATGGTGTGTATTGATTATAAAAATGTCAAAATTTACTGGTAAATTTACAGGTAAAGTTACCAGTAAACTTTACATGCGCAACACTTATCAATATTTCACACTATTACTGCTAATTTTCTCCTTCGTTTATCCGTGAATGACTGAAGTTAGAGTATTTAAAAATTTCACTAATTTTATTAAAAAGAAAGTAGTTAATTTTTAAAAATTAATAATTTTTTTTTTGTAAATATAATTAATTTGGTGATTCTTAATAATGCTAAGTTTAAATATGATCATTTATTTTAATAATTTACTTATTTTAGATTTTAACAGTATGCATTTTTTCAAATTGTTGTTTTGCTAAAGAATTATTTCAGCAGGTTGCATACAAATATTATTAACTTTTTTTATAGATTCATATTTACAAACTAATTACAAAAATTATTTGCGAAAAAAAAGTTTGTAAAATTTGAGTTTTGCATGCTTTATATATATTTTTTCTTAAATGACCGAAGTTATATGGTGACCGAATTTAGGCGGTTTTACGGTATATACTTAGTAACTTTATATTCAGTCTTTTGTTTACCTTTTTACTTCCATTTTTTATTTTGTATAGTGCTATTAAACACCATTTATTTATTCATATTACTTTTTATGTAATACCAATTATTGGTTTTATATTCACTTATGGTTTTATATTCAATTTTTATTTAATAAACAAAATTAATTACACAAAATAAAAAAAATTTAATATGAACAAATTTGATAACTAAAGAATAAATGTTAACTGAGCTTTATAACTTAAATTAGTTTTGTAAAACTAATAATATCATATTGAATAATTTCTTTAAAAAATAACTTTTTCTAAATGTTTTAAAATAGCTAAAGTTATTCCATTCTATCAGATCATTATCCATAAATAGGGTTCACTAATGGACTACACTAAGTATCAAACTTTTTATCTCTTGACAAAGTTTAGCAAAAAAATTGAAAAAGCCACATCCAACAGATTTTATAACTTTCTTGAGAAAAACCAATGCCTCTACAAGCATCAGCATGGTTTTTGTAACAAACACTCCACAACTAATGCACTTATTAAAATAACAATGCACTTATTAAAATAACAGAGAAGGTATTTGATTATATTGATCATCATCCTCTTAAATAAATTGAAACACTTGGTATTCAAGGTATTGCTCTCCATGGGTACTATTTATTTTCTTAAAAGATTGCAATCCTCTATCATTGATGTCAAATTTTTGCTAATAAAAAGCTGCACAGTTGTACTTCAAGGTTCAGTATCAGGGCCATGTTTTCAGGTTTTTAGTCGATCTAAAATCTATTAACACTAAAACACTTTAAGTTTTAAAAAACCCTTTCTCATAGTTTTTTTTTTTTGAAATATCTAAGGGAATCAAAATTGATTCAAGTCTATTTTTTAACATTTATCTTTAATAACTAGCAGCTAAGCTGATCAAATGTGATGCTAGCCTAAGATTTATCATTATGTCAATTATTAAAACACTACTCAATATATACCATGCAATTTTAGGATCACTTCTCAAACATGCTTGTCAGGTTTGTCAGACAAACCCTATCTCTTGCTTTATTAAGATTATCAAATCTACAAAGGAAGGTTATAAAAACAAATATACTTTCAACAATATCATTTTAATTCTGACAAATTTTACTTTCTACTCAAATTATATGATCTTGTTAATCTATTAAATTATCTATTTATCTGTAATCATAAATAATGAAGAGACCTACCTAACTCAATTACTCATTCTACTTCGTTCCTTCTTTCTCCCTTATTCTCTTTTTTTTCATCAAAAAAAAAAGTTATTTTTTACTTTTATTCTACCACAAACCAATGCATAAAATCATGGAACAATTTACCTTAAATCATTAATTCAGTAAAGCTACAGTTAAGCGGCATAAAATAATTTATTTTTTTTCTTGTTGCACTCTAGTCAGTAAGGACTTTTTAAACATAAGGAGTATTTATTGGCTTCAGTACATACATTAACTTTATCTTTTGAAAAAATAAAATTATTTTAGGCTGCTTAACTGTAGCTTTACCATTAATTCTATTTCACAATTTGAAAATACTTTTTTTTGACAATTTGTTGAGAATACTCAACTTTTAACATTCTTGAGGTTCAACATGGACATTTTTTGGTTATAAATGATAATAATAATAATATAATAATAATATTAATATTAATAATAATAATAACAATAATAATAATAATAATAATAATAGCAATAATAACAATGATAGTAATACTATCATAAGTAATAACTATTATAAATAATAACTAGTCTGAAATAAACTTAATTTTACTAATCTAAAATAAACTTTATTTTAGTGCTATTAGTAAACAATCATGAAATGTAATAACTTTTATTTAAGAACAAATATTGTTATTATTATTGTTGTTCTTAATAAAAATATTTAATTTATTCATACTAGTATTGACGTTAGGAAATTATTGGCTATTAATAATATGAAATATATCATCAATAATTTAAAATAATTTAATAACAATAAATTTGGACAACTGTAATTTCTAGGCACAATAATAATAAATACAACAATACGAAAGAAAATCTACCCATAATAATGCATTAATTGAAATAAATTTTGTCTTCATTTAATAACTTCTATCAAGTTTATAAAAATAGGATCAAGAGACTCCAACTGTCTAATAAATATCAACACCAGCGACTTTGCCGTACAACAATGTTTTATCAGCTTGTGCTAATATGAAACAACCTCGCCATGCTGTTTTATTGTCGTTTTATACAGTTTATAACATTAAAAAGATAAAATTTGTATCTTACCGTCAGTGTGAACGTGGTAAAACAAAACTGTTTTAACAAACTGTTAACCAATTTAAATCACATTGATTTAAATTAGATATGTAAATTAAGATTTCGGGAGGCATAAGTGCGAATTGGCATAAGTGGATAAGCGAACTGGCTTAACTGGATGAACATAAGTGCGAACTGGCATAAATGCGAATTGGCATAAGTGCGCCAAAAAGGCGTCCTACGATTCAACCGAATCCTTAATTTCAATTTAGAACCGAATATATAGGTGAGTATATATATTCAGATGAGTGGAAAAACGAATGAGTGGAAACCACTGATCTCTATAATAATAGTGATCAATAATTATAGAGATCAGTGGTGGAAACTCATCCAATTCATGAATTTTCACTCATCCGTTTTTCTACGGGAAAAAGAAAGGGAAAGGAAAATAATCACGTGAGCATGCGCAGTTTTCTTTCGGACAAATAAAATCTTTTATTACGCATGCTAACGTAATTATTTTTTGAGTGGAAACTCGCCTTGAGAAATTTATTACACAACCGAAAAGATTCACAAAAAAAATTAGAACCTAAAAAATTTCAATCGAATTTTCGATCGAAAGTCATAAATGATTTTAGAATTTCGATCGAATTGATTGAATGGATTTTTCTGTATCCCAAATGTAGCCCAGATGATTAAATTTTTCATTTGGTATTATTTGATGGTTTTTAGGATTATCTTGCAATTAGTTACTAGTCGCTTTCCGGAAATCAAAACTTCCATTTTGACAGCATTGAGTTTAATGCCGTTTAAGTTATTGTAATTGTTACACGTTGTTATACGTTGTTACACGTTGTTATAAACCTTTTAAGATCAGATAGAGTAGAGTAAAGTAGAATGAATGATTTTAATTACAAAAAATCATTAAGTTGCAGTTTCATTCTTTTATGCACGAACTTCTAAATTTTCTTTAAAATTTGAGCAGCAATTACTGTTTTATACACTTACATTGGAGGCCGGGTGAATAAAAAAAAAACATTTACTTAAACTCAGCATTTTTGGAGTAATTGCATAGCTTTACGTAAGTAAAAGGTTTAGCAAATTTGCTCAAGTTTCTATTCACGTAAAGTCACGTAAAACAGCTTGTTTACTTCAAAAACGCCAAATAATTGCTTAGCTTTACAAGAATAAAAATCTAACCAAATTTGGTCATGCTTTATTATACACGTAAAACTGACTAATTACTAAGTAAAGGCAATGTCTTTTTTTTATTCACTTGGCCTATGAACATAATATTTTTTAAATTTTCGAAATAAAATTTTTTATTTTTTTGCTGTTAAAAAACTAAAACCGTATCTAAACTAAAACGGTAATCCGTCAAAAAAATATTGATAATGGCACAAAGTTTCCACTGAATGTTCCCACTGTGCAGTTGCATAGCTAGGATTTCGGACGCCCGAGGCAATACTAAAAATAGGCGCCCCCTGAAGAAGACATGTAAACTAAAAAAAAACACTTAATGTTTCCAAGATAATGACAATTTTCAAATTAACTCATGTTTCCAATTACGTATCCGTTATTGTTCGTGTAAATTAGTCATTGAAAGTGACAAATATAAATAAATATTTTTGACCTTTATAAATAAAACTTAGTCTTGCAGTCAACTAGCCCCGGTCTCCCCTACTGTCTATAAAGTTAAATGTGTTGATTTAAATTAGTTTTAGTGTTAATAAAAACTATCTTTTAAAAATCAAATTGAAATAATTTTTTTAAATTTGAACAAAACGCTATATCACATGAATTTAATAAATTTTTTACTTAAATAAATCCTAAACCATCAAAGAAGATCCCTGTTACCAGAACATTATTTAGTGACTTTTTATTACCCTTGGAGAAGTGCATTTTCTCTGATGAGCTTTCCTCTGATTTATCAATTGAAGAACTTGAAAAGGCGTTGAAATCTATTTTTTAAAAAAAATCATGTGGACCAGACAAAATAAATGGAAACGTGATTATAGATTGCTTTGAGCAACTAAAACATGTTCTTTTCAAAGTTTTCAACGCCTCAATTAAACAAGTAATTTTTTCAGAACAATTAAAAATTGTCAAAGTTATATCTATAAGGAGGGTGACCAATTCCGAATTACTAATTATCACCCAATCTCTGTGCTCTCTGTATGCTCAAAAATCCAGTTTAAATATTCTGTTGCACATAATTCTCATAAGAATTATGTGCAACAGATAATATAAAAACATCTTGACAAAAATAACCTACTCTATGTTAATTAATTTGGTTTTAAAAAGGATAGCTCAACAGAGTATACAATTATCTAAGATGAAATTTCAAATTCTTTTGAACAATCAAAATATACATTAGGTATTTCTATCGACAGCCTTTGATACGGTTGACCATCACTTCCTACTCAAAAAACTGAAATACTATGGAGTAAAGAAGCAAGTGTTAAAGTAGTTCAGAAGTTACTTAACAAACAGAAAACAATTTGTTTTTGGTATTGACAACTATCACAACAATCGTTTAAGTATGGCCTGTGGAGTTCTACAAAGTTCAATCCTCGGACCCCTCCTTTTTTAATTTTTATAAATGATCTAAATAAAGTAACTAATCTGATGAGCATCATGTTTCCTGATGATAGTAATTTATTCATCTCTAAAAGTGACATTAGCGAACTTTTTGCCACCGTAAATAAAGAACTTAAACTTTTATCCCACTGGTTTAAATCCAATAAATTAACATTAAATACTGACAAAACTAAATGGACTCTCTTCATTCGCTTAGGGAAAAAAATTTTCATAATAAAAAATTCCTCAAATCTTTATTGATGAAATTGAAATAAAAAGAGACTCCGTTATTAAATTCTTATATGTTTCTCTCGATGAATACATTAATTGGAATCAACATATTAACTATGTATGCACTAAAGTCTCTATAAACATTGGAGTTTTATACAAAGCTCAAACTTATCTTAATAAGAAAAACTTAAGACAACTTTATTTTTCATTTATTCATTGCTACATAAACTACGCTAATATTGCCTGGGGAAGTACTGAAAGTAAACTATATTGTCTTTATCGCTGCCAGAAACTAGCAATTCGTATAATTAACCTTGCTGATCGTTTTTCTCATTGTAAACCTTATTTTATTGAAATTAAAATTTTAAATATATTTTAACTCAATGTTATGAAAATTTTATCCTTTGTTTATATGCGGAAACACCATTTATCCCCGCCAGTCTTTAAAGATCTTTTCAGTTAAAACCTCAGCAACAAACACTTTTTTTTAAAAAAAATTTTAACGAACCTTCTTGTTAAACCAATTTAAATTAGTTTTGTCTTACCTATCGTGCACCACACCTGTGGAATAAACTTGTTTTACCAAATGTTGACCAAATTCTTTTTGTCTTTTTAAAAACAAAATTAAAAATCTAATTTTTTCCCTCGATATCATTTTAGAGTACTACTTATTAATTTATCTATTATATAACTTTATTTTATTTTTATTATTTTTCTCTAAAGTTTTGATGTTTACAACTATTTATATTGTTTTTACATATATATATGTTGCTTATATTGTTTAAAGTTTTGCTTAAAAAGTTCTATATATATATATATATATATATATATATATATATATATATATATATATATATATATATATATATATATATATATATATATATATATATATATATATATATATATATATATTCTACTTTATTGTAACGTATACTTTACAAGGTTTCTTAAATTAATTTGTTTGTTAATGTTTTTAAGGTTCCGATGATCGTAATGATCTTCTTTCGGAAACCTAGTTTACACTGTTATCACACATTGCATATATATATATATATATATATATATATATATATATATATATATATATATATATATATATATATATATATATATATATTCTACTTTATTGTAACGTATACTTTACAAGGTTTCTTAAATTAATTTGTTTGTTAATGTTTTTAAGGTTCCGATGATCGTAATGATCTTCTTTCGGAAACCTAGTTTACACTGTTATCACACATTGCATATATATATATATATATATATATATATATATATATATATATATATATATATATATATATATATATGTATATATATTTTAAAAAAATTTTAATTGTTTATTTTATTGTAAAACATTGTAAACTAAAAAAAAAAAATTAAAAAAAGAAAGGATTTTGTAATTTGATCCAAATTTTTTCGGTTGTAAAATGCGGTTTTAAAACTTTCGGCGCAGGCAAGCATTTTTGTGATTCGATCCATATTTTTTCGGTTGTAAAAATCGGTTCAAAAACTTTCAGCGCAAGAAAAGATTTTGTAGTTCGATCATGCAATGAAAGTATACTTTTCGGTTCTAAAATGTTCGGTTGTGAAATATTTCGGTGATATTTTCGTGGATAAATATTTTCGGCTCTATCATGTGACACGGCCAAAGAATTTGCAAACATTAGCACAAGTGTGAATTTGCATAAGTGCAAAGCGGTTACAAAAACTGGCATAAGTACGAACTGGCATAAGTGCGCCGAATGAAGCTGCAAATATTGGCATAATTGCAAATTGGTATTTCGCAAATATGCCAGTTTGCATTTGTTCGCACTTATGCCAGTTTGCACTTATGAAATTCGCGCTTATTCAGTCGTCCCCATGATTTAAATTAAATGATTTTTTTGGATAAATAATGATTTAAATCAAGTTTTCCTTTTATGCTTGATTTTAATAATAAAAACTTGTTTCAAAACTTAACATAACTGTAGGATTGATATTTGGGTATTGTAAATTGACATATTCCATTTTTTTTTTTTCAACTTTATTCAAGGTTCGACCTTGGTAATGAGGGGGAAGAAAATTAGCCAGAAAATGAGATGGTATCACTGCTTTTTGGTATATTTTTTCGAATTTCTTTAAGACATCTTTCTCACTTTTACGCGAAAGTTTGTTTTCTAGATTCCTCCACACTTCTACTACTACTGCTATTTT